GAACCTTCCTGTTGTAATCTTGATTATTATTTACCCATCCATGTGTGGGGTCAACCCTCAAATGGCTGACTGTGAGGATTGATTCGCAGCACAATATACAAACTATTGCATGGATGCTGACCACATGAAGTGAAATTTGCTCCAATAAGGTCTGGTGCCTACCAAAATCTTCCTTGAGAATTAATTGTGTCCTGCTCTAATGTGGTTCTGGAACCTCATGGGAGGTATTCTGGTGCAGGTTAATGTCAGATGCTGCCTGTGTCACATCTTGAGCTCTACCTATTTGGAGCTATAAAGGGATACACAGTTTATGGGTGCCTCTGCTGGACCTTGGTGTGCATAGGAGTGGCTAAGGTGCCCACCAAGGCCAGCTTCCACCTGTACCAAGCCTAGAGAGTCAGATCAGCAAAAGGCCTACAGCAACCTGAGATCTGCCTCCACTTGCCTTTGCCTGCCAGCTGTCTGTTAGTCTCAATCACTGAAAGAGCCTCTGACAGTATGTGAGTTTCATGGGGTAGTTTCTCAGCAAGTCACCAGGTAGGCAGAAATTGTGTACACCAGATTGATAAAGATTCAAATTTGTTGCCACTTGAGGGACACAGCAAAAGTTCCCTGGTACACCAAGGCCAGCAGCTGCCTGCCAGGTGCCCAAAGACCTTTGTGATGGAGTGGTGGGGGTCTCAGGGAGTTGTTGGCAGAGTTCATCAGGCCCAAACAGACCAAGATTTGGCCTTGTGCAAAGATGGCTCTGCACAGGAATGTGGCTTTAGTTGGGCAGGCAAGGGAAAAATGCCCCCTAACCTAGAGCTACACAACACAGTCTGTCCCTGATTCTGGTCAGACATTCTCAAGACCCCCAGCTCAGCAGGACAGGACAACCAGGAGTCAAGGAGGTAGGGTTAGTGGATTTCTCATGGAAAGGCAGAACCAATCAGGCTCTCAGGGATAGTGGGGGCAAGGAACCCCAGAGCTACACAACTCAGTCTCTGATACCCTCTGATTCCACCTGGACCTCTACACCACTGCTCTACCACAGAGTATGAGCTTGGCAGGGTAGGGCCACAGGGAGTTGGGAGACTAGGGCTATTACATTCCCCAGGTTTATACCATATGGAAGGAAGTGCTCAACCCAAGAAAGAAGAGGGACTCAGCATAGGTACTCTGGCAGTTGTCCCTTCAGCTCTCTTCCCAGAGCCACACAATCTGGTCTCTCTTCACACAATTATAGTCCACTTCAAGCTGTACTCCTTTTTCAGAACCTAATGAGGCTACAAATGAGGTTTTATGCACTGGCCCTTTAAGATAGCAGGAGGGTTTCTAGCAGAATTTGTCTCTCTGGCAGACAGAATCCATGCTGATTTTCACAGCCAGATGTTATGTGAGCGCCTCCTCCAGGCTCTGATGTTCTGGGCTGGAGTTAAACCCCCAAGATTCTCAGGAGCAAACCTTTGCAGCTAAGATATCCTTCCAGATTCTCAGCTGCTTCATGTGGGCCCTTCTACCAATCAAAATGTGACTTCTTCTATAAATCCTTGATGATAAAAGCACAACTCAGCTAGTCTTCATTTGACTATTCAGGTTAATTAGTCTATATTTCAGTTATAATGCCAAGTTAGTTCTGGAGGAGATAGGTGTAACTTCAACATATTCTGCTGCCATCTAGGATTCTCCCAAATGGCAGAGAATTTCATCCTCAGGCCTTGATATCTAATCAAGTTTGGCTAGAAAGATATTAAAACTACTTTGATCAGTTTTTCTCAGTGATTAGAGTGTCTGCGGACTCAAGGGTAATGATTCGATTTCAATCAAAGGCACATACCTTGGTTGCAGGCTCAATCCCTGACCCTGGTTCTGGGCGCATGCAGGAGGCAACCAATCAATATTTCTATCTTACATTGATGTTTCTCTCTCTCTCTCTCTCTCTCTCTCTCTCTCTCTCTCTCTCTCTCTCTCTCTCTCTCTCTATGTCCTATCCACTCTCTCTCAAAATCAATGGGAAAAATATCATTGGGTGAGGATTAACAAAAATAAAAAGAAAGACATTAAATCTTATTGTGGGGCAAAAAAGTCTAATCACCTCCATAAAAAGAAGGTATCTTCAAATCAAAAGATGAAGTAAGCAACTTCATAGAAAATAACAGAATTATAAGGTAATTTACTTATAGGAAGATTGGGTCAGAGTGGACAGATGACTCAACATTTTTTCTTAAGTTATTATTCACTACCAGACTCTTGTTACACTACTTCTTTTATAGTATAACTCAGGTATAATGATTGACAAGACAAAGAATGCAATAGTGGCAGGGGGCATCTTTCCTGGTGGTCTTGTGATAAATGATTGCTTATAATTGATACTCTTACCATTGATATTTATCTCAGTTGTCATGCCATTTTGGCTGTTGCTAACAAAAATATTTAAGGCTACATTTTAAGGAACACAGATCAACATTAACTAGAAGGTTTGCTAAGGAGAGTGAAGTTGGTCAAAAGTCCCAGCATGAAATTTGAAATGAAATCTGGACACAGAGAGAGAATTAGTTTTGTTCATATGTACATGTACACACTTATGAACCATTAACTCCTTTTACTTTCCATCTACCACCACCCCTTTTTAAAATAGAAATGTCTGTGATCCATGCCTGTCCCTCCACTGTGTGCTAGGAATGTTGGGTGGGTAGTTTCTTCAGTATCATGGGTCTATAGATGAGGAAGATATGTGCTTAAAAGCTGTATTTAAATAGTTATTGTCTTAGCTGGTTTGGCTCAGTAGATAGAGCATCATCGGCCTGCCAACTGAAGTGCCCCAGACTTGATTCTGGTCAAGGGCACATGCCTGTAGTGCAGGTAGCAGATTCTCCCAAGTGGCAGAAAATTTCATCCCCAGGCCTTAAGATCTAATCAAGTTTGCCTAGACAGATATTAAAATTGCCTTGGCCAGATCCTCACTCATCATTGAAGTTTCTATCTCTCTCTCCCTCTCCCTTTCTATCTAAAATCAATAAAAAATATATTTTTAAATAGTTATCACTAGGAAACTTATTCTCACCTGACGCTGAGGAGTTAGATTAAGAGATCTTGGACTTTGAGGTGATGAGATAATGATATTTAGATTTAGATGATGATGTTGGTTCACAAACCAGCCCCCATACATGGAGGGCAAGAAGAGATGGAAGAAATAAGCAGACTAGGTAGGTGGCAAGTTTAATAAACAAGGCAACTCATTTGACAATCAGAAGACTCACTTCCACCTGCCAAAATCTATATAGAGGATATACCTAAGCTCAGTCAAATATACCATCTAGATCATCTCAATAATACCTATCTCTCTAACGGCTGCATCCTTGAAACAGCTTCCACTGTGGGAACAGTTGGCAGAGTATACAGTCAAGGTCAGGGGAGGGGTAAGGAACCTTCAATTGCTGAAGTCCAGCTCAGTGATCAACTGGAGATTATGTCCTATTAATGACCTCCACCAACAGATAAGAATTTGTATTTTGTGTTGATACTGTATAGGAAGAGACTCGGAAACCTTGGGATATAGTGAATAATCTTGCATTTAGGAAAGGTACCAGTTATTAGAGGACAGAGGTTGGACCCTGCTTCTCCTTGACCCATAATTTCCTGCTGCTGAGTTGAGGAGACACTTGATGAAGAGATATCCTCTCCTTGATTATGCCATGCTGTATTGCACTAGTGAGTTACAGAAAGAGATATTACCCTTAATATTCATAGAAGATGGTATAGATGACTATATCAGATCTTGAAAACAAGTTGGCAATATTTGGTGTTATTATGTAAACAACTGACCTCTGATGAACTAGGACATATTCCTGGGTCTATTTCATAACTTCCTGACTACTCTGTCACCCAAATGGGAACCCATGGATAGAGGGAACTTATGTACCTTCTGCTTCCCCTATTACCATGGGTGTTCTTTTCACCCCCCTCTTCATATTGTGGTAACATTTACCAAGATGGTGTAATTGTTTTATCTACATTATTTTTAAGTAGCTAAGTGGAAATTGGTTCTAATTATGATTAAACTTCCAGTTCATACTGCCTTCTTGAACCTAACGTCAGCTTCTGCAGCTCCCCATGTGGCACAAGGCCGTCTGAATACAGATCAGTGCATTTCACCGACCCCCAGGAGGCGGTTTCCCAGCTGCCCCCGCGTGACGGCCAAGGTGCTGTCCGCTCCATCTGATGGCGAACGCTGGGGTGGGCGTTGCAGGTCCAGGCTGGCGGGCAGCCTACGCCCTGGCTGTGGTCCTTCTCTGGCTGTACCCACTACTGCTGCACACCCAATCTGCGGGGACCACCGCCCAGTCTGCTGGGACCAAAGCCCAGCCTACGAGGACCACTCAGGCCTGGGCTGGTGAGTGGGCAGCCAGGGCAAGGAAGCCCAGGTCGCCCATTTTGACATGTCACACCCTCAATAGCAGCTGAGTGGGAGGTTGGGCTCTAAGGTCCCTGGGTTTCTGCAAAACATAAGCGGTGGGGCCATGGAAGGAGAGGAAGGGGAGATCAAGGTATGCCCCTTCCCTGCAGCTCTTTCCCACTAGATTTCAGTATTCTAGGCCAGGAATAGAGGTCCTGCACTAGCCTGTCTCTGTTGCCCCCCCCAAACCCTCTCCATTTCAAGAATGGGAAGTGCTACATCAGGAGGAAGAATATCAAGCAAAGTATGTTTCATTTGGCCTCAGGCTCCCTAGAACATTGGACTGAGGTGGGAGGTGTGTAAATAGGTCATTATTATTATAGTAGCCTTGAGCAAACATCATCCCTCTGTAAGCCCTCAGTTTCTGGGACTTCAAAACAGTAAGTGAAATAGGTCTGGGGAAGGGCCTGGGGAAATGCCACTGCCCAGCCCGGACCTCCTCATTACTGTTCTGATCTGTACTACCTGGCTGCCCCGCCCTCCTCCTTTGCCCCCTCCTCCAGACTCACAGGCTGCTTCCTTAACGCTCCAGTGAAGCCAGGTGACCTTTGTCACATATGCCATGTCACTTCACTATGGGTTTATGGAGGCAGCAAGGCTGTGCCTCACGACTGGGACTGTCTACACAGTGTGTGGGAGGCCCGTGGTGACTGGGAAAATCTTTGGTGGCAAGAATGCACCTGACCAGCGGTGGCCATGGCAGGCCAGCCTGCTCTACCATGGCAAGCACATCTGTGGAGCAGTTCTCATCGATGCCTTCTGGGTGATCTCAGCTGCCCACTGTTTCCAAAAGTGAGTCTTCTCATAGCGGTGCAGCTGCTGGGGTGTGAAAGGGAGTGAGCACAAAATGGCCAGAAAAGAATGGGACAAGGGAGGTTGCAGCTTTTTTTTTTCTCTTCTTCTAGGCTTTGTTCTGGGATAGTTTCTGCCACCAGGTGTCTGGGTGTTGTTGCAGTCCTCTCTACCTGGAATACCATGACGCTCACCACCTGACTCTAGTCTTTTGACTGTCTTGAATCATTTCTTCTATGACAGAGACTAATTCCTTCATTTCTCCTAATGGAGATATTCTTTTCACCCCCTCTTCATATTGTGGTAATATATACCAAGATGGTGTGGTTGTCTCATCTGCATTATTTTTAAGTAGCTAAATGGAAATTGGCTCTAATTATGATTATAAGTAAATACTGGAAAACAGACTTTATTTCCAAAATAATTGCCTCCAGTTCATTCTTTATTTTTTTGTAAACTTTAGGAATTGAAATCCTGTTCCAACTCAAGGTGAACTCTGGTTTCTATATGTTGCCCAGCTCTATATAGCCTCAAGATTCCAATGTGCCTCAGTTTTCTTTTGTGCAGATGGTAGTTGGTATGTAGTGTCCCTTGCCACATTCAGGCACAAGCTTCATGCTGTAAGTCAGAATGATAGTACTAAGGCTGGTGGTGGGGATCATCAGTCAGGGCCCATTGTGAACAGGTATTTTGCCCCCCATTCAGCCAAAATGTCTGAAGGATATTTCCAGCACAACTGCCTGAGGCTTCCCTGGGTCCTGACTACCTACACACTTAGCAGTTCTCTATAGACATGCTGGGACTCTGCATACCTAACTAGAACTCAGCTCTTTCTTCACCTCTGTAGAACTATGAACCTAAGAATAGCTGTTGTCACCACTGTCCTCACAGACCAGAGTAAGAAATAAAGAAAATGGTTTCTGTCCCAGGAGATTGGTGCAGAGAGTAGAGTGGGTATCCTGGGCTTACTCTGTGCCCAGAGGGAATGGTAAAGACATCATGCTTCATGTAATGAAGACAAGGCTGCTTTGAAACCCCACTTCTATTTATTTATTCAGTACCCATGGGTGCCAGGCCCCATATGAAGTCCACTGTGGGTGATGTAGAGATGCAAGACTGCACTTGAAACTTCTCATCCTATAAGAAAAGTAAGACACAGTCCAACTACTGTGATACAGGGTAGAGAGTCCATAATATGTGAGAGGGTAGATGCTGAGCCAGTGTCAAGGGAGGTGCTGTAGATCTCATCAGAGATTGGGGCTTGTGGAAGAAGGATTCAGGCATGGGGAATCTGGGTAAGGGACAGCATAAGCAGGATACCACACACACCTCTATTGGCTCCACAAAGACTTTGAGTGCCTGTCACCAGATGGGGATCAGCCTTTAGAAAAGTTGGTGTGTCTGGACTTGGAAGGAAGAGGATGGATCATTCTAGGATGGGAAATGGGGTCTTTGAGAATTACTCATGGCTATGGGACCTTTCAAAGGTTCTGGTCAAAGTTGGGAATGAACCAAATATTCTCTCCTGTAAAAGAAGGGGTATAACTTCATGTCTCCAGCACTAATATTCTCTGCTCCTTTCATTCTGGGGCATGCTGGGAAAGACATCAGTAACTTTCAAAGGATAAATGTACTGAGGCTATGGACAGCAATCAAACTACCTCAAGAGAATGTTAGGAAGGGAGGAGAAAGAGACCACTGGAATAATGGTGGGATCTAATTATTAACCAGGGGGTGGGGGAAGCAGTCAGAGTAAGGGTGCTGGTCCAGCACGCAGAAAAGATGGGTGATAATGGAGCCTCTCCATTATAGGTCCCATGAACCATCAGACTACAAGATCCTGCTAGGGTACCATAGGCTACAACATCCCACTGAGCACAGCCTGCAGATGACGGTATACCGACTCATTGTCCACGATGATTTTAATAAGTTTCACATCATGGGGAGCGACATCGCATTATTGCAACTTCATCGGTCTGTGAATTTTACTTCCCACGTCCTCCCTGCCTGCCTCCCAGAGCCTAATGCAACATTGCCACTTTCTACCTCCTGCTGGATAACTGGCTGGGGAATGATCACTGAGGAAGGTGAGCAGAATAGGGCAGATGAAGAGAATAAGGCTGAGGAGGAGGGAGGTGCAGTGGCCACCATGAGGCCCTGACAGCATGTCCTTTTAAAACTTAAAGTTTCCTTTAGTTTGTTGTTCAAAAAAAATCTGAGTATCTCTAACTGTTGGAATCAGAAATTTGTACTGTTTGACTTGAGCCATTCAGGATTCCACCCTGACTCCCAGGTCCTCCTTGGGTCAGGCTCCTTCTGAACTTGCTTTGTCAAAACCTCTTGAAATCCTACTGCCACAGAAGGTATCGATACTTGGGCAGCAGTCAGGAAATGAAGCAGGCTTGTTATCTGGTCTGGGTGGTGGAATTGGACATTTATAGCTTTTACCTCGGTTAACTTTACTTCCCTTTATTCTAACTGAAGTAAAAGTTGCCCATTCTGCCTGCTTGATGATGGAGAAAAGAGAAATGTTGGGCAAAGATTTTGCACAAGAATGAATGCTTTTGTTTTAAACATAACATTGAGTGAAAAAATAAATTTGTAAATTTGGCAGAGCATCCCAGTGAAGGCATTGGGGGCAGGACTTTCTTTTCTGTGCATGCTAGTGCCAGTATCCTTGCTCCTGTCCACTGTCAGTCACACAACATTTCCAAAGGCACTCTCCTGGGATGGACTCATTAAGAACCACTGGCATACCAAATAAGATTCTCCAAGCTGGTCAGAGGATGGGAGTTGGAGAATGAAGTGAAATGAGCTGCCAGCAGGACAGGGAGCAGCTGCCATCAAAGAGGGACTCAGCTGTATTTCTTCCTTCACTCCCCCCCCGCCCCCCCCCCCTTACCCTGGGGACTGCAGTTGCTGGTCTGGGTTTCCCCTGAGAACATGTGAGGGCTGTACACAACTGGTACTCCATAAGAGTTTGTGGTCACTGTAACTCTGTGCTGTTTCATGAGGACACCAAGTCAGAGCTGTAAGCAGTATCTGGAAATAGAATCTTTAGGAAAGGTGTTCACAAACCAGATGTTCATTGAGGCTAGGCCATATTTTATTTTTCATACCACCTAACTCTATCTGGCATCTGCTATGTATATTACTGCTACTCCTTGACTCATAGCTTCCACTCTCTGTGCCTCTAGTTCTGACCCCACATAGCAGCCAGATTAATTGTTCTAAAAATTTAAGTAGAGCCTTGCTTGTTCTGGATCCTGCTATGATTTTTTTCACCCCTATAACAACCACACTGACCTCCATCTAGGTCCTTCCAACAGTATTGTGCTCACTTTTGTTCTCTTGTCTGCCTTGAACATCTCCCTGCTCCCCCCCGTCCCCCCTTTACACATCCTCTGAGAGGCTTCTTTAATCCTCTTAGCCAGAATGATGGCCTCTTCTTCAGCAGACAGGTTAGGGAGGCAGCTGGATTTTAACCCAGGCTATACTTCATATCTGACCAAACTACCACTCCCCTGCAGAGTTCCTGCCTCCACCTTCACAACTGCAGGAGGGAGAGGTTGGCATCATGGACAACGAGATCTGTAAAATTTATTTCCAATCACCAACCAGTAAATACTCTCTTCATGAAGATATGCTGTGTGCAGGGAACCTCATTACTGGAAAGTCCATCTGCAAAGTAAGTAAGACCAGCTCTATATCTTCAGTCAGGGCTATCTCTTCTCTCCTGTGGCATCTGTTCTCTCTCTCTCTCTCTCTCTCTCTCTCTCTCTCTCTCTCTCTCTCTCTCTCTCTCTCTCTCCTACCCTCTTTCTCCTTCCTCAGCCTATGGTTTTTTATTTCTAACCCACCCCAGTTGCAAGTGTCAGAGCCAAAGGAAAGAAACCACTATAGAGCCCACTCCATCTGTTTTCTTCATTTTTTAAAAAAAAGCTTTCTTGAAGTATAGCATTCATAGGAAAGAGCACCATTCACAAGTGTGGCATCTGATTCATTTTAGAAATTGATACATGCCTGGAACCAGCACCAAAAGGGTCCTCCTTATACCCCTATCTTATCATTAACTTCCCCCAGCTATCCCTGATCCCTGGCCTGGCTTTTTTAAACACCATGAAATAGTGTCAGGACTTCTATACATGGGAATCATATAGGACACATTCTCATTGGGTCTCTTTTAGTCAATGCCATGTTTGTAAAATTTATCATCTTGTGTGTGATTTATATTATCTTTTTATTCTTTATTGATAAAGGTATTGTATATGTGTCCTTATCCCCCTATTGCTCTCCCACCACTCTACTCATGCACTCACCCCCCTGTTGTCTGTGACTTTTGGTTAGGATTATATTCATGCATACAAGTCCTTTGGTTGATCTCTCCCCATCACCCCCACACTCCCCTACATTCCCCAGAGGTTTGACAGTCCGCTCATGCTTCCCTGTCTCTAGATCTGTTTTTGTTCATCAGTTTATGTTGTTCATTATATTCCATAAATGAGTGAGGTCATGTGATATTTATCTTTCTCTGACTGGCTTATTTCACTTAGCATAAAGCTCTCCAGGTCCATCTAAGCTGTTGCAAATGGTAAGAATTCCCTTTTTTTTTCTTCTTTCCCCCCACTGCAGTGTAGATGTGTAGATGAACCACATCCATTGTGTAGATGTAATGCAATTTTTTAATCCACTAATCTGCATATGGGCACTTAGGCTGTTTCCAAAGTCTTAGCTATGGTGGATTGTGCCGCTATGAACATACAGATGCATATATTCTTTCTGATTTGGTGTTTCTAGTTTCTTGGGATATATTCCTGGAAGTTGGATCACTGGGTCAAATGGGAGTTTCATTTTTAGTTTTTTGAGGAAACTCCATACTGTTCTCTACAGTGGCTGCACCAGTCTGCAATCCCACCAGCAGTGCATGAGGGTTCCTTTTTCTCCGCATCCTTGCCAGCACTTGTTTCTTGATTTGTTGATAATAGCCATTCTGACAGGTGTGAGATGGTACTGCATTGACATTTTGATTTGCATCTCTCGATTGATTAGTGACTTTGAGCATGTCTCTTGGCCTTCTTTATGTTTTCTTTAAAAAAGTATCTATATAAGTCAGTTGCACATTTTTTATTGGATTGTTTATCTTCCTTTTATTAAGTTATATGAGTTCCCTGTAAATGTTGGAGATTAAAACCTTATTGGTAATAACATTGGGAAATATGGTCTTCATGCAGTAGGTGTTCTTACTGTTTTGTTGATGGTTTCTTTTGCTGTATAAAAGCTTTCATTTTCCTATAGTCCCATTTGTTTTCATTGCCCTAAGAGTGGCATTGGTGAAAAATTGCTTCAGCATATGTCTAAGATTTTGCAGTCTTTTAATTCCTTTAGTACATTTATGGTTTCCCATCTTATGTTTAAATCCTTTATCCATTTTGAGTTTATTTTTGTGTATGATGTAAGTTAGTGGTCTAGTTTCATTTCTTTGCAAGTATCTGTTCAATTTTCCCAGTACCATTTATTGAAGAGACTGTCTTGACTCCATAGTATGTTCTTGCCTCCATTGTCAAATATTAATTGAACATAATGGTTTGGGTCGATTTCTGGGTTCTCTATTCTATTTCATTGATATATCTATATCTATATCTATCTATCTATCTATCTATCTATCTATCTATCTATATCTATCTATCTATCTATCTATCTATCTATCTATCTATCTATCTATATATATATATATCTGTTCTTGTGCCAGTGCCATGCTATTTTGAGAACAGTGGCTTTATAATACAGCTTGATATCTGATATTGAGATCCCACCTACTTTGTTCATCTTTCTCAGGATTGCTTCAGCTATTTGGGGTCTTTTTTATTCCAGATGAATTTTGGGAAGTTCATTCTAAGTCTATGAAATAGGCCATTGGTATTTTAATGGGGAATGCATTGGATCTATAGATTGCTTTGGGTAGTATGGATATTTTAATGATGTTGATTCTACCAATCCATGAACATGGTATGTTCTTCCATCTGTTTACATCTTCCTTTATTTCTTTTTTTTCAGTGTCCTGTAGTTTTCTACGTATAGGTATTTTACCTCCTTGGTTAAGTTTATTCTTAGGTATCTTAATTTTTTTGGTATGATGATAAATGGGATTGCTTTTTTAGTCTCTCTTTCTGTAAGTTCACTATTAGTGCATAAAAATTCCATAGATTTCTTGGCATTAATTTTGTATATTGCTACATTGCCAAGTTAATTTATTAAATCTAATAATTTTTGATGGAGTCTTTAGGGTTTTCTATGTACAGTACCATGTCATCTGCAAATAAGGACAGTTTTACTTCTTTTTTTTTTCTTCCAATTTGGATGCTTTTTATTTCTTCTTCTTGTCTGACTACAATGGCTAGTACTTCCAGGACTATGTCAAACAGGAGTGGTAAGAGTGGACATCCCTGTCTTGTTCCTTTTTTAGAGGAAATGGTTTTAGTTTTTGACCGTTGAATATTATGTTGGCTGTGGGTTTGTCATATATGGCTTTTATTATGTTGAGGTATGATCCTTATATTCCCACCTTGTTGAGAGTTTTTATCAAGAAAGGGTACTGGATTTTGTGAAATGATTTTTCTTCATCAATTGATATGACTAAGTGATTTTTAGTTCTCAATTTGTTCATGTGATGTATTATGTTTATTGATTTATGGATATTGCACCCCTGGGATAAATCCTACTTGGTCATGATGTATGATCTTTCTGATGTATTGCTGGATCCCATTTGTTAGACTTTTGTTGTAGATTTTTAGTATCTATTTTTATTAGAAATATTGGCCTGTAATTCTCTTTCATTGTGTTATCTTTATCTGGTTTTGTTATTAAGGTGATGCTGTCTTCATACAATGAGCTTGGAAGAGTTCCTTCCTCTTGAACTTTTTAAAATAATCTGAGGAGGATAGGTTTTAGTTCTTCCTTGAATGTTTGGTAAAACTCCTCTGTGAAGCCATCTGGACACTGGCTTTTGTTTTCTGGAGCTTTTTGATGACTGGTTCAATTTCTTCCATAGTTATCAGCCTATTGAGATTTTTAGATTCTTCCTGATTGAGTTTGGAAAGTTGTGTTTTTCTAGGAATTTGTCCATTTCCTCCAGGTTATCTAGTTTGTTGGAATCAAATTATTCATAGTATTTTTTAACAATCCTTTGTATTTCTGTGGGGTCTGCTGTTATTTTGCCTCTTTCATTTCTGATTTTGTTTATTTGGGTCCTCTCTCTTTGTTCTTGGTGAGCATGGCTAGAGGTAGTTCATCGATCTTCTTTATCCTTTCAAAGAATCAGCTCTTGGTTTCAAGGATATTTTGAATATTTTATATATATATATATATATATATATATATATATATATATATATATATGTTGGTTTCCATGTCATTTATTTCTTCTCTGATCTTTATTATCTCCTTCCTTCTGCTCATTCTGGGCTTTTATTGTTGCTCTTTTTCTATTTCTTTATGCTGTAGAGTTAGTTGATTTACTACAATTTTTTTTTGAGGTAGGCCTGTAGAGCTATATACTTCCCTCTCAGGTCTGCTTTCATTCTGTCCCATAGATTTTGGATAGATGTGTTTTGATTGTAAGTAGTTTCCAGGATGTTGTAAATATCTTCTTTGATCTCTTTATTTTATAGCAGGCTATTTAGCTTCCAAGTGATTGAATTTTTTGTATTATTTTTATTGTAGTTTATTTCTAATGTTATGCCATTGTGATCTGAGAAGATGCTTGATATGATTTCGATCTTGAATTTGGGGAGACTTTGCTTATGACCCAAATATGTGTGTCTATTTTTGAAAATGTCTCATGTGCACTTGAGAAGAAAGTATATTTCGTCACTTTGGGGTGAAATGTTCTGAATATGTCAATGAAGTCCATCTGATGTAGAGAGTCACTTAGGATTGCTGTTTCTTTGCTGATTTTTTGTTTAGATGATTTGTCCAAAGGTGACAGTGGGATATTAAAATCTCCTACTATGATTGTACTGCTATTAATCTCTCCCTTAATGTCAGCATGCCTTCTCTCTCCTTCCCAGATGGTAGAGCCTCCTCTTAGCCAGCCATCCAGTGCTTCAGGGCAATGCCTCCCCTGTTTTTCAGTTCTAAATTCAAATTTGTTGTGGTAGTCTACATTCAGGTGTAGATGCCGCCATCTTGGTTTCTCCGGTATAATCTCTTGTTGTATTATGAAGTTGCCTTCCTTGTCTCTTCTTATGGCCATCACTTTGACATCTATTTTGTCAAATATAAGTATTGCTACCCAAGCTATTTGTTTCATTTCCGTTTGCTTGAAAGGTATTTTTCCATCCATTTACTTTCAGTCTGTGTGAGTCCCTTATTCTGAGATGTATCTCTTGTAGACAGCATAAATATGGGTCATGTTTATTTATCCATTCAGCCACTTGATGTCTTTACATTGGAGCATTTTGTCCATTTATATTTAAAGTTATTATTGATGGGTACTTGTTTATAGCCATTTTTATTTTTTGTGCCTGTGTTCCTTCTTACCTTTTTATTTCTTCTTTTCTTTTACAACAATCCCTTTAGCATTTCTTGCATTGCTGGCTTGGTAGTGATAAACTTTCTTAGCTTTTTTTATCTGTTTGAATCTCCTTATTTCCCCTTCAATTTTGAATGATTGCCTTGCTGGATAGAGTA